CATTTTATTAGTTCTAAAAGTCTTCTTAGCCTTTTATGTATAACCATATTATTTGCAGATAGACCATTTTACTTCTTCCTTTCTAATCTTTCTGCCTTTGATCTATTTTTCTTGCCTTTTGCACAGGATATGCAGTAAAATGTTGAATGGAAATGATGAAAGCTTATTTCCTTGTATTAGGGGAAAGTATTCCACGGGAAATAGTTACGGCTTTCTGCTCCCCAACAGGTTAAAAAGCCTTAGAAACCCTATACAGAGTTGCTATGAGCCGGAACCAACGTGATGGCAACAACCACCACCGCTTTTGAGATATAAAGATAGCACTTTAGTTACAGAGAAGGAAGTATTTATGGAGGGGAAGATACAACCCACAACATGAAGATCACCAAGGAACTGAGAAACAGAAGCTGAAAAGAGACAAAGACCTTCCTCCAGAGCTCACACAGAGAGAAAACCTTCCCCCAGAGCTGGCACCTTGAATTTAGACTCTAGCCTTCGAACCCACAGTATTTTCAATAACCTCATATGCATGTGAAAGCTGGACAGTGAATAAGGAAGACTGTTGAAGAATTGATGATTTTGAGTTATGGTGTTGGAGGAGAATATTGAAAGTGCCATGGGCTGCCAAAAGAACAAACATCCGTTCTGGAAGAAGTGCAGCCAGAGTGCTCCTTGGAGGCCAACATGGCCAGCCTTCAGAGACCAGTCACTGGAGATGGATATCATGTTTGGTAAGGTGGACGGTTAGAGAAAAATAGGAAGACCCCCAGAGAGCTGAATTGGCAAAGTGGCAGCATCAATAGGCTCAAGCATGGCAACAATTGTGAGGTTAGCCTAGAACTGGGCAGTGTTTCGTTCTGTTGTGCATAGGGTCGCTTTGAGTTGGTATCGACTCGATGGCACCTAACAACAACAACAACCCATGAGAAAGTAAATTGTTGTTATAGTAGCACTAGAAACTAAGAAAGGCCCTGAGACTCGGTGAATATAAAAATTCTCATGACAAAGCTTTTTTTCCCCCCTTTATTTTTATGAATACAATACAGTATACAAACAAATTAAAAAAAAAAACAAACAAAACCTGCAACATACACATACTAGTTGATAATGAAAAATTATGGGACAAAATAATCTATCAACATTTGAGATGGGCAAAAACATGCAAATATTGGCTATATCGAATGATATTATATGATTTTTCAAAGTACACATTTTTAGAAAGTAGTTGAAAAACGTCTGAAAGAAAACAGGCTATCTTCAAATTAAAGGATGTGGTGTGTTTGTGTAAAACTGTGAAAATGCATGAAAGAAACAATTTCACTGTATACCACATTATTAGCATAGTGAGTGATGCCTTGCGCTACTAAGCGCAAGGTCAGCAGTTTGAATCCAGCAGCCGCTCCTCAGAAACCCTATAAAGGGTTGCTATGAGTTGGAGCTGACCCAGGGCATTGAACAACAACAACAACAAGAACCCCATATTATTTGATGTATTTATGGAAAATAATAGAAAATGCTTATAAAATAGTAACTACTTACTCCTAAAAGTATTCTTTTCAGTCAAGTAATATATTTGTGAAAAACACTTAAAATGTTCTTGAAAGAAAGAAGAAAGTTTTAATCTCATGCCAGTCTTTAGTCAAGTGCAGTATCTGGAAGGCAGCTGAAAAAATGTCTGAAGGAGAAGATGACTTACATTTGAAAACCTACATCTAAATATAGCTAATGTTTAAAACACAAGACAATGACGAAAGGACACACATTTTCTCAGAGCAGATCATAGTTACAAAGCATTTTTAGTTTTAAGGCTTGTGCAAAAAAAATATTTTACATCATTTAATGTATATTATTAGATACACAATGAAAGCTAACTAAAGTGACTTAAATAATCGGTACTCAGCAATGGTTTGTAACATAAATTGTTAAAGTCCATATATCTTCCCCTAAAGGGCAAGTGAGGTAGTTTTTACCATATATACATGTAATGAAATTAGCATTCCAGTTTGTTCAAGATCATTGACTTCAAGAAACATGTCCCCAAATGAGGCGCTTAACAAAGGGATCCTTTATTGTAGAGTAGAAGGAAAAAATAAGCCAGCTTTAGGGTTTTTTCTTAAAGTGTTAATTTCCTCTAATACTTTCCAGGATAATTTCACTAGTTTTTAACTGTAAAAAAAAAAAAAAAAGTTTGGGATGGAGTAGGGTTGGCAGTTATTAAGAATATAATTTTGAACCTCAGTATCTGATCCATTTTTTGTTTGCAAATATACTACTCATTTTTACAGACTGGATATTGAACTACTTTAAGGCAAATTTTCATGATGACTCAAAGATAGTTTTTCAATAATTAAGTGATAGGCATTTAAAGTTTTTTGTAAGAGTTTATGCATGCTTTTACTTAAAACAACAGCAAGAAACTTATGGCCATTCAAATATTAAGGTATATGTCTATTAAACTTCCTCTCTAGTCAGTTAACTTCATGACTAAGAATAATGGTTAAATCCAATAATATTGGTATTGACATGTGATCTTCCATATAACACAGATTATTAAAGTTGTCACACATTCTTGAATAAATTGAAGTGAGTCATTTAAAGTTACTGATCCAGCCAAGTCTTTGACATCTAAAAGCACACACACATGGATAAGGGATTTAGAAATGAGTACTTTACATGCTATCTGTCAGCTCTTCATTTAAAACTGATGACATGTTGGAGTAAATCTTAAAACCTTTAGAATTTATGTTTGGTTTCTAATGTGTTCTCAGTGAAAAGAAATTTTAAAAAATGTAAATTAACAAACCTGTGATTTTTTTTTTTTTATTTCAACACAACAGAATTTTGCTATTCTAATGAGAGGAAATGAAATGAAAATCAATCAAGGTTTTTGTATGTACATTAAGTATAAAGTAGCTGTTTGAAGAATTTCTTCTATATGTGGACATAAATCACTGCCATCCCATTAATTGGGATTTGGCAACTACACAAACTGTTTGTTGTATTTGTGGGTATGTTTTGTACCAGTTGTTTAAACTGCAAAAGTTATAAGAGCCTTCTTCTAGACTCTCTACAGTTATTATTTAAACTCACATTCCACCACTTAGCCATACATTGACAACTGATGAGATGTGTGAATAAGCATAAACCTTCAGAATACAATTTTACTTTCTAATGGCCTTTCATGGCAAAGGAATTTAAGAGTCTCAAATACATACATCAAATAAGTGGATCTTGACATTTTATCTGAAAATATGAAAATTCTTAATGGCCAGAAATGCAATTACCTATATGTTGAATAAATTAATGTCTTATATAGAAATAGCAAGGCATAATGCAGCATGTGAAAGCTTTCATCTACCTATGGACTTAATATTATATCACATTATATGTTGAGGATTGGTAAGTACATAAAGTAAAATGTTTTCTGCATTTGCCAGCAACTTTTTGCCATTTTTTGTTTTTTTAATTTCAAGACAAGAGGAGAGAGAGAGTCATTTGAACCTTAAATTTCTTTAAAAACTCTTTAAAATGGATGCAAATTCTTAAAAACCTCAACCTCTGCATCCCTGCAAGAAATGAGAAGTCTGTCATCATTTAGCTAACGCTACAAGGACTGTCTCAGCAGTCTCAAAATGAAGGTAGAGCACATTTTCGATTTGCTCTAAATTAGATGTGTAGGGGCTGTGGGTTCTGGCCAATTGCAGGTCAGGTAAATGACTGCACAGAATCTTGATAGGAGACATTTGCCTGTTTTGAAAACTGGATGCTAATCTACAGTACTTGGCTATGTCTGTGATTAATGAGCACAAGCAAAATCTGTTCTTACAGCCTATAAAATCTGGGTATTGCAATATGTTTCAGCACTTTTGGATAAAAGTAGTTTGGTATCTTTAAAACTGTGACTGCAAAAAGTGGCTACTTAAAGTTGTGAAATATACAAAGTGGTATGTTTGATGAGAAACAGAAATCTGTGTCTAGCACATGGGCAGACAGACATTCACTAAGCACCACAGTCTTCAGGAAAAAACGGGCTCTGTGGCTGATGGCTCTAAAGGAAGTTGTGAAAGCAGAAGGATACCTTTGGCCAAATTAAGCTTTTCTATCTGGTAGCGTAGTGGTTGCGAATCGGGCCATGAACCGCAAGGTCATCAGTTCGAAACTACCAGCTGTTCCGCGGGAGAAAGATGAGGCTTTCTGCTCCCGTAAAGATTTACAGCCTCGGAAACCCTGTACAGGGTCGCTATGAGTCGGAACCGACTCCATGGCACTTAACAACAACAACAACAACAACAATGAACTGCAAGGCAGTGGTTCAAACCCACCAGCCTCTCCTCAGAAACCCTATACAGGGTTACTGTGAGTCAGAACTGACTGAATGGCACTTAACAACAATGGGGACATATGCTTGTAAGTGAATAAACTATAAGCATATCAGTTTCAATAGTCAATGATAGAGAAATGTCCATTTGCACCAGAATGCTGATTGTCAGAATACAGTATCATGTATACAACAATACAGATTTCTTGAAACAAACTTCTTCCTCCTCCAATTCAGGAGTAAGTCAGAAGCATAAATATCAACTACTTAATATTAGAAACTGAATTCCCTTTGGAATTTTGCTGAGCAAAAATGATGGATATTGTGAGCATTCAATATATGTATATAAGTATAAAAAAAAGAGTCTCACTGTCTTCTTGTGTTTGGTAGCACTGGCTACATAATGGAGTGTTTCTTATCTCCAGGAATAAGTTCATTTCTTCTGTGAAGCAGAAATACCAGAAACGATGAAAGATCCATATTCTAGGTTGGCCTTTCTTCTGTAAAGATTGCATCCCACTTCCTTTACTTTTTTCCCAAGGAACCAGCATTAGGAAGCATCAGCTCTTCCAGTGTTCATGCTGAGGATGCCAGGATACACCACGGTTTGGGTCCCAGAAACAAACATGTCAAAAGCAATCTCTTTTCCTCTACCAATGCAGTGTCCATTTATGAAAGCACTTCAAAAACTTGACTGAGGTTTAATCACCCATTCAGCTTGAGGATTTACATGGTATATATCCAATATATAAGCATCTGGATCCAAGCAATGCTGTCCTAAAAGAAAGAAAATCAGAGAATGTTTTCAAGAATTCATGCTTCTCTGTGTTGTATTTGTAAAGTTGAAATAATGCCAATGGAATCCTGGTATGGCTCTATAGGATAAGCACTGGACTTATAACTGCAAGGTCAGCAGTTCAAACGCACCAGCCACTCCTTAGAAATCCTATTGAGGGTCACTATGAATCACTACTGACTTGATGGCACTTAACAACAACAACACTTCTCTCAGTCAAAGGTAAGTAGATGTATTTTAAAGCTTCTTAGCAAAGCCCAGTTTTCTTTCTTTCCTTCCTTCTCTTTTTTTAAGATTGTGAAATATTTCAAGTAAATCTCATGTGAAACTGTGGAAATACATATGACCTACATGCAGATTTCACCACTTGTCTGCTAGTTTTGTGGTTGCTTTTGTGTTGCTGTGATGCTGGAAGTTATGCCTCTGGTATCCTAAATACCAGCAGGGTCACCAATGGTGGACAGGTGTCAGCTGAGCTTCCAGACTAAGACAGACAAGGAAGAAGGAGAGGCAGACTGCTTCTGAATGTTTAGCCACTGAAATCCTATGAATAGCTGTGGAACACTCTCTGATATAGTGCCGGAAGATGAACCCCTCAGGTTAGAAGAAATCAAAATATGACTGGGAAGAGCTGCTTCCTCAAAAGTAGAGTTGACCTTAATGACAAGAATGGAGCAAAGTTTTCAGGATCTTCATTTACTGAAGGGACACAACCCAAATTGAGAAGAAACAGCTGCAAACATTAATAATTGGAACATGGACTGTATGAAATATGAATCTAGGAAAATTTGAGCCATCAAAAATTAAGAGGAATGAATAAAGACCAGTATCTTAGGCATTAGTGAGCAGAAATGGACTTTCAATCACATAATCATATGGTTTACTATGCCAGGAAGGACAAACCGTAGAGGAATGATATAACATTCATCGTCAAAACAAGCAATTCAAAATCTATCTTGAAGTACAACACTTTTGGTGGTCGGGTAATATCCATATGCTTGGCAGTTCAAGCTCACCAGCTGCTCCTTGGAAACCTTATACAGGGTCACTATGGGTTGGAATCCACTCGAAGACACTTAACAACAACAACAACCTAAGCAAGAGCAGTGAATACCACTATTATTCAAATTTATCCACTAGCCACTAAAGCTTTGACAATAAAATTGAAGAATTCTGGGTGTGGTGCTGCAGGATAATACACTGGGCTGCAAAGGTCAGTTTTAGCCACAAGGTTGGTGGTTCAAACCCACCAGCTACTCCTTGGAAACCCTATACAGGGTCACTATGAGTTGGAACTCACTCAACGACACTTAACAACAACCACCAACTTCTTCGGTCTGAAATTGACCAAGCATGCATTCAAGATGCATTGATAATTACTGTTGACTGGAATGTGAAAATCAGAAACAAAGAGGAAGGAGCTTCAGCTGGAAAATATGGCCTTGGTGATAGAAATGATGCTAGAAATCACATGACAGAATTTTGTAGGACCAATTACTTATTCATCGCAAATATGTTTTTTAACAACATACACTGTGACCATACACATGAACCTCACAAGTTGGAATATAAATGAATCAAATTGACTACATCTATGGAAAGAGACAGTGGAGAAGCTCAGTATCGTCAGTCAAAACAAGACAAGGGGCTGACTGTGGAACAAATCATCAATTTTTCATATGCAAATTCAGAGTGAAGCCGAAGAAAATTAAAACAAGTCCATGAGAGCCAAAATATGACCTTGAGCACATTCCTCCTGAATTTAGAAACAATCTTAAGAACAGATTTTATATATTATAAACTAGTGATCAAAGACCAAAGGAATTATAGGATGACATCAAGAACATCACACATGAAGATAGCAAAGACCAAAATGGCTGTCATAAAAATCTTAAAACTTCTCTTGAATGTAGAGAAACTAAACCTGTTAGAAGAAATGAGGAAATTAAGAGATGAACAGAAAATTTCACAAGACAGTTTGAGAAGACAAAGTCAAGAATTTTAATAAGATGCACAAAGACCTGGAGTTGGAATACCAAAAGGAAAGAACACACTCAGCATTTCTCAAGCTGAAAGACCTGAAGGTAAAATTCAACCCTCCAATTGCAAAACTGAAGGATTCTATAGCAAGACCAGTGGTTCTAACTCACCAGTTGCTCCTTGGAAACCTTATACTAGATTGCTATGAGGCTGAAACTGACTCAACGACATTTAACAACAACAACAACAACATGGGCAAAATACTGAATGATGCAGAAAGCATCAAAAAAAGATGAAAGGAATACATAGAATCACTTTACAAAAAAATTGGTCGATGGCCAATCATTTCAAGGGGTAGTATGTGCTCAAGAGCCAATGTTATTGAAGGAAAAAGTCCAAACAGTACTGAAGGTATAGGAAAAACACAAGGCTCCAGGAATCGATGGATTTCAAATTGCGGCACTGGAGTTACTCACTCATCTATACCAAGAAGTTTGGAAGACAGTTACCTAGACAACTGATCAGAACTGATCTGTGCCCATCTGTGCCCAAAGAAATGTGACCCTACAGAATGTAGAAAACATCTAACAATATCATTAATATCACATGCAAGTAAAAGTTTGTCAAACATAATTCAAAAGCAGTTGTAGTGCTACATCGGCAGGGAACTGCCAGAAATTCAAGCAGGATTCAGAAGAGGATGTGAAACTAGTATATCATTGCTGATGTCAGATGAAATTTGACTAAAAGTAGATTATACCAGAAAGAAGTTTTCTTGTGCTTTATTGATTATACAAAGGCATTTGACTGTGTGGATCATAACAAACTGGATAAAACTGTGAAGAATGGATATTCAAAACCACTTAATTGTGTTCATGAGGAACCTGTACACAGACCAAGAGGCAGTCATTTGAACAGAATAAGGGTATACCAAGTGGCTTAAATTAGGAATGGTTTAAATTGTACTCTTTCACCACACTTATTCAACTTGTATGCTGAGGAAATGATCTGAGAAGCTGAATTATATGAAGAACATGGTATCAGAATTGGAGAAAGACTCAGGAACGACTTTTGATATGCTGATAATACAGCCTTGCTTGAGGACTTAAAATACTTGTTGATGAAGATCAAAGACTTCAGTATGGATTTTACCTCTATGTAAAGAAAACAAAATTCCTCACAATTGCACCAACATATAACAT